ACAGAAAATAAATATTTATTTCGTACTGTTGATCGAAAACACCGATGGACTATTAATTTTTGGGGCGGCATTATGGGCCGGACATGTGATACAAATGGGAGAGGATAGGCTACCAAAACGAGCACTGAACGCCAGAATGCAGGGAAAGAGACCAGTTGGAAAGCCAAGAAAAGCGCTGGGAAGACACAGTAAGCAGCGACGCACAAGCACTTTTAGGAGTCCGTGTATGGAGAAGAGCAGCCACAGACAGACAAGGGTGGAGGCAAAAAATAAAGGAGGCCAAGGCTCATTTTGGGCTGTAGTGCCGTAGAAGAAGAAGATTATGGGCGAGTACGTTATCGGCCCGTATTTTTTTGACGAACATCAATGGGACAAATTTCTTAAATTTTTTAAAACAAAATTTTTAGACACTGCTTGAGAACCTTCCACTTAGCCTACGAACAAAAATGTGGCTCCAGTTGGACGGAGCTCCTGCTCATTTCTCACGTGATGTTACGAACTACCTTAACAGAAAATTTACAAACATATGGATAGGTAGAGGTGGTTCATATCATTGGCCCCCTAGGTCATCAGGACTAACCAAGATGGATTATTTTAAATGGGGTTATATTAAAAATATTGCATATGCTACACCTCCTACTACTAGAGATGACATGAAATTATGAATTACAAACGCGTTTGATATAATCGCTAGTTGTATTGCACAAGATGGCAAGCAATTTGAACATCTGTTACATACCTGAACATTTTTTACTTCCAACATCCAATAAGTTTTGGATTATTTTGTATTATTTATGTTCATTATTCATTTTGTATTATTTATTTTATTAAAATTCTTTCTGTTTCGTTATGTATTTACTTGTTTTCAAAAAAGAGTTTGTGCTTGTAAGCACGTAAGAAGTTATAGGTAAGTGCATCTATTATTATGATTTCAAAGAAATAAATATATTTAAGAATTTCATTTTTATTTAAATATTATACTTATTTTTATACTTACAATAATACAAAAAATTAAACCTAACGTTAATATCTACCTCATTTTTGAAAACTGTAACCTCTGCGCAGTTGCCTTTCACTTGATGAATTGTAGAAAATCTAAAAAAAATCAGATTTTCAACAATTTTTTTTTATTTTCTTTTCATCATATTTTAATACTAATTATCCTATTCCCAACGAATACAAATTAAAATACTTAAAAATGTTAATTTATTTACACAAATTGTATTTACAACTACACTGGTTTCGTTTATAACATTGTCAATATGATGGGTTTAAAATCGAAAGTAATAATTATAAATATTTGAAATCGATTTCCGTTAAACAAAATTTTAAGTTACGGTAAAACTATCAGTCCTAGTTATATAAAATCCATATATTATTCGAAAGAGAATTTTTTTCTTAATTTAATAATTCATTAATATGCAGGCTGTTTCATTTAAAATAAACCTTATATTACACATTGAATAATCCAATAATGAAACTACAAATTTTGAATACCCTGTAAATAAATGTTAATCATTATTAATCATAATTAATCATGAAATACATTCGACCCATATCCAGCTATTTAGATGTACGAGTAATTTTATTTGAATTGCTTAAATAAATTAAGAATGAGTCCTTATTTAAAGATTTACATTTTAAGAAAATTTGACATAACTCAGAACACTCTGTACATAGGTATAGGGAAGTCTTATGAAACTATATCTTATTTTTTGTAGACAATTAGAAAATCCAATAAAATACAGGGTGACCCGTAAGAAAAAATATAACCTTGATACGCCGCACTTTATCGGGACACCCTGTATATTTCAGAATAATTTTAAAATGTAGCATTTATCAACCTACATACTTTACATTTAAAATTTTTTCAAAATCTTTTACCGTTTTGCTATAATCTTCCGCCTCGTTAGTGGAGACTCATCCTGTATATATATATATATATATATATATATATATATATATATATATATATATATATATATATATATATATATATATATTAAATGTACCATTGTTTAAAACATCAATTTTTGAAAATTGAAATGAAACGATTTAAAAAAGGTATTGCGTCACTAGAGTTTTTAACATTTTATATAATTTTATTTATTATTTATAAAAATAATCTTAAAAATAATAATAAATCTGAATTGTTGTTGAAAGATAAAATCTTGTACTTCCCCCGTATTTCACACTTATCTATAATGTTTAGAATGTGCTGACATGCAGTTACATAATATGTCTGATATTGCAAACATGAATTACCTATGTATTAGTCATATTGTTTATACCTATAATGAAAAATGTTATCTATGTAACTATAATCAGATAGAAAATATTGAATTCTTTTATGGTTATGAATTAGAAGTGAGAATATTTGATAAATCTTAGGATCTATTTTGTTTTCTACTTATCTAAGAACAAAATGACCTAATTGGTTTTTAAGAAACTGCAAGTATATAATATTTTTGTGAGAAAGAAGGCGTTAAAATATTCTTAGGGGATATTAGATTGTGTTAGCTCTTTGAGAAATGTTAGATATACGCACATATCAGGGGTAAATATTGTCATTTTTCATGGATATGAAATATGAGATTAAGTGCTGGATTTTTGAGAAATGATAAACTTACAGGTTGTATGATATTTTGTTTCATGTTGGTATGTAACATCAATAAAACATCAATAATATCAAAATGAACTAATCAAAAAGTCTGAACAAAAAATCCCATTGAGGGATAAGTTTGCTTGAATTAAAGGAGATTAGTGACTCTTTTTTATAGACATTTTCTTGATTGATATACCTAGTTGATTTACAATGGAAATATATTAAAAAATATATAAAGTGTAAAAACATGGAATATAGACAAGGTTAGTTTAGGATAGGATAAAAACAAGATATATTGTACATTACCTCATCCCTGTAACACAGCTGTCACACTATCATAAAAAACACTATGGTTTTTACTAATATACAAACACAAAATATTGTTAGTTTTTATCAAGCGTATTACAACTGATTTTTATAATTGACTTTATAAATAACAACACAACACTGATATTGCAGTAAGTAGTGTGTTTTAAGATAATAGTTGTCACATGAACCTAGTATTTAAGGCGACATCTGTTGTAATTTTTTTTAGAATAATACCTAACACATAAGAGCATTAATTGAGGAAGAGCAATTAAAGCTTCAAAGTTAAAATCTAAAAACTGCAAAGTATTCCATCGAACTTTTTGTGGTTGTTACTGGATGGCAGCACTAAACTAGATTTGGATTTTGGAAGTTAAGAGTTACAATGTAGACCATGCGCAGTTAGTTGACTGTGCTAGTTTGTAAATTAGATATTTATACAGTGTGGAAACCACTTATGGAATAAAATTGTTTGTGTCCTTATTTTAAAAAATAATAAAGAACGTTGAGATACCTTAACTTTTAAATTTAAATGTACGCTTTTTAGACATAAATTTGAATGTACAGGGTGATAAATGCAAGTCTGGCATAGTGCATAATCTGTATTTTAAATGAAACAACCTGTATATTTTCATGTTTTTAAAAGCTCCTTAACAACCTGATTTCAACGAACTATATCATGTAGGGTCTATTATAAATAATACAAGGTGAAATTTTGAAATTAGGTATTTTCTTCAAGACAATGAATTCATAGAATATCCGAGGTAATTGACTTGATTACATTAAAATACATGCTCAATATGTTCTCCACCTTTTTGTTGGCAATGACACAGTCTCCTATAAAACTAGTTCCGAACTTTGTTTAAAGTTTGAGGTGAAATATTCCGTATTTCTGTAGTTATCCTTACTTTGTGAGGTCTTCAATGATAGTTGATTGTGTTGCATATACTTTGTTCTTGAGATAACCCCACAAAAAAATCCAAAGGCGTAAGATCTGGCGACCTAGCTGGCCGCTCACAAGTCCCCTTCATCAAATCCACTTATTGAAGAAGATCTCATTCAAGTAATTTCTCATCATTAAAGCATAATGGAGTGTTGCACCGTCCTGCTGGAACCAGACAGTTTCATGCGGTAGGGTCGGATCTATTGGATTGGGATATAAGTTAGCCAACTAAGGAAGAACATCGTCTCTTAGCATGCTTAAATATTTTTGATATATAAATTATATATATATATATATATATATATATATATATATATATATATGAAACAAACAAAACAAACAACTCATATACAACATCATACTTAAAAGTGTAATCACATATGGCAGTGAAGTTTGGCCAATGAAACAAAGAACAGAGAAACTGTTACTAGCAACAGAAATGGACTATGGAGAAGAGCAGCAGGCAAATCAAGAAGAGATCGGATACCAAATGAGAGAATACGAGAAATGATGGGAGTCAAGCATACAATAGTTGATGACATAAAAACAAAACCGTTAATATGGTACGGCCATGTACAGAGAATGCCAGATGACAGGATTTCGAAACAGATTTTGACGTGGACACCACAAGGGATAAGGAAAAGAGGACAGGAAGGCCGAGAAGAAGCTGGAGAGAAGGAATTGAAAAAAGAAGAAAGAGAAATCACTCCAGGCCTATGGTTAAATAGAGAAAGATGGCGGTTAGGAGTCGGAAGACGTCGGAGAACGCTGTAAATCGATAGTAGTAGTAGTAGGTTACCCTCATCGATATAAAATATGTATGTTTCTTGTGGATATATATATATATATATATATATATATATATATATAATCTAAATTTATGTCTAAATCTAAATGATGCAATTGGTCTGCATTTTAATTAAATAAATTTACAAAAATAAATGCTGTCAGATTATTACTAACAATTCTGTTATGCTTTTTTGGTATATCAGTAAATTTCCAAAAACAGATCGATTCTATATTTTTCAATCTCTTTAATAGATATTCTTTATTTTTTTTAATATCAATATTTTTTTAATGATGTGTGTTAATAATCAAAGTTACAATAAGTAGCTTTTAATTTAAGTGATAGTAACATATTTTTAGACATGCGGGTTACCAGTACTGCGGTGCATGTGGAGGTCATGCTTACAGACAAATAAGCCCAGTTGTAGTACGGAGAATATTTATTTTGGGCCCTTCCCATCATGTTCGCCTATCAGGTTGTGCCTTGTCAAGTGCGCAAAAGTATAAAACACCAATATATGACCTCCATGTAGACTCACAAAGTAAGTATTTGTCAGAAAATCAAAATTTAAAGGTTTTGATCACTTATGTTTGAACAGTAAATAGTAGAATATTTTAATTGCATAATTTTCTTGGTTTGTAATTTTCGAATGATTTTAAGTTGTACTCTTGGATGAGGTTTCAGTGTTTCCTATGGTTTTTTTCAGTTTCGAAATTACAGCGTCAGCAACCAAACGTTTATAAGATTTTTATAATGTAAAACACTATTAAAATCAAAAGTCCTAACGAGCATTCATAATAAATTGTAAAATACTTAAAATTTTAAGGGATGAATGATATTTTGGCCTATTTTGTTATCTGTATTTATAATTGCGGCTGGATGATAATATGTTTGACAATAAATTAAAATCGCTACTGCAAAGTTGGAATATTTAAATGAAATAATCTGTCATATTATGTATTATCAATTTATCCAATTTAGATCTATCCACCCATTACGTCAGTAATTTCAAGAGATTTAAATATTTGAAATATGAAATCTAGAAATATATATACATATATATATACATATATATGTATATATATATATATATATATATATATATATTTGTATGTATATATGTATAGGTCTCCGATATGTCTTTTCAAAACTTTAACATTAGAAGTATAGTAATAGGATTTGAAAATTTGAGCGAATTGATTTAAATTGCAGTTTTCTATTTTATTGGGAATAAGCCACAATTTTACTTTAACGTTTTGATTTCCTCTCGGAAATCGTGTTCAAAATACAAAACATTAATAAATAAAATTTATTAATGGTGTCAAGTAGATGGAAATAGAAACGTCAAAATAAACTTATTTTAAAGTCAAATTGTGGCTAATTTATTTATAGTCATTAATAGAAAAATCCACCCACAACAAATTTTAGATATCCGAACTTTAAACTCAGCAGACGCAAGGAGTGAACACAAACTTAGTACTAGCAAAGATAAAAATGAAAATAACACCAAAACAAAATTTTCTGCAGGAAATAACCGAGGAAAAATTCAATGTATAATCACTGTGAAACGACTCTAAAAGAAAATTGTACCAAAGGAGGCTAGCACAGAAGATACATCTGAAACAAATAGACAACATCGAAGATATAAACACGAGCTGGGAGAAAATTAAAAACAACATTGAAGAAACAGGCAACAGAAGCTCTAGGAAAACGCAAAGTCATACTGAACAAAAGAAACAACAATACACCATGGTTCAGAAAAGAAATAAAAGAGAAATGTAAAGAGAAAAGAGAGGCCTACACGAAGTACAAAACATCAAATACCCCAGAATCCGGGGACAACTATAGAAAAATACGAAATGAAACACAGCAGTTGGTAAGAACAAAAAATAAACACTGGGAACAGTTTACAAAAAGGATGGAAAGCAACTTCTACGGTACACAAAAACAAATATGGAGATTCATAAAAAAACCAACGGAAAGAAATTGCAGAATTGAAGGAATACAATAACATACCAGCAAACGAATGGGAAAGATACCTGATGAAACTGTTTAAAGCAAAGGAAAATAGTAATTAACACAATAACGTACCTGAATTAAGACACTAAATAGAAATCAGTTTTCAGGAAGTAGAAATAGCAGTTTTCACTTAAAAATAGAAAATTACCAGGACTAGACGGAATAACCAACGAGCTTCTAAAACGCGGAGTTGATAGTATAACCCAAGAGATGTCAAAACTTATACAAAAACTAATATTGCTCTGCAAGATACCAGACGCATGGAGAAACAGTATACTGATACCAATGTTCAAGGAAGGAGATAAAGAAGGCCCCAACAATTATAGAGGTATAAATCTACTGAACACCGCACTTTAACTTACCACAAAAGTCCTAACCAACAAAATCAATAAACTAACAACTTTTATTAGATGAACAACAAGGATTTAGATCCGGAAAATCCTGCGTAGACGCCGTATTTGTACTAAGACAAATCACAGAAAAGGCCATCGAGTACAATAAACAAGCTTATATATGTTTTATAGACCTGAGAAAGGCTTTCGGTCGCATCCAAGTCGAAGACGTCTTACACCTACTGTATAAAATACTACTACTTCTATAAAAGAAACATATCAATCAATATTATACAAACTATCGAAAACATCTACTTCGATAATCGAATACAGGCAAAAATAAATGGAAACCAGTACTAAGCGGAGTCAGACAGGGTGACTCGTTAAGCCCACTTCTCTTTAATATAATATAGGACGAAATAATACGAGCAGTACGTAAAGGTCATAGCTACAGAATGGGGAACAAAGAAATTAAAAATATTATGTTATGCAGACGACGCCGCATTAATCACCGAGACAGAAGACGAGCTCCAAAATTAATACACATCGTCAATTCAACAGCCAAGAAATACAATATGATAATATCTGCAGAAAAAACCAAATGTATGACAACATCTAAATACCCACTAAAATCGAAATTGATGGGAAAATAATAAAGCGGGAAGCAAGGTTTAGATATTTGGGAATAGATATAACTGGTTATGAAGCTTTTGAAGAAGAAGTACGACAACAAGGTTAAAAGCAAGTAAAGCAGCGGGATCTCTTAATGACACAATCTGGAAGAACAAACACCTAAGACAAGACAAAAACAAGAATTTATAAACCATCAATTAGACCTATATTAACATTCATACATGGCGGAGACAAGACCTGACACATCTAAAACAAGACGACTACTAGAAACAACAGAGATGAAAATACTACGACGAATATCAGAGAAAAGTCTGTTGGGTAGGGAGAGAAGCGAAAACAGGAGTGGAACGAACACATCAGTAGAATGGCAGAGGATAGAATAGTACGAATAGCACGTGATAAGTCACTAAATGGACGAAGAAGTATTGGCAGACCAAGAAAAAGATGGTGCGACAATTTAAACAATTTAGGTGGCTAATATTGAAGAAGATACAGGCTTTAAAGCCTACATACAAGAAGGAAGAAAAGGAAGATGAAAGTAGTAGGTGTGAAAATAAAATTAGTTCTAATGAAATGAAATGAAATAAAAAAAGAGCGTGGGACTTGGGGAGTGCCGACAGAAGTGAATACTTCTTATAGCGTGTTATTATTATATATAGGTTAATGAAATTTTATGTCCTCTTAATGCACAATACACATTTAAGTTCTTTAAAATTTAAAAAATCTTAATTTTTTTCTTTAAAAATTTTGTTTAACGATTTTAGTAATTTTTAAAATTTGTTATATAGAATATAGAATTATTTCATTTTGATTATCATTATATTCTAAAAATAATCGTGAATAATAGGAGGGTATATTAATTAATATTTATTGACAATTTTTCGTTTGTAAATAGTTATTTATATACGACTATAAAATTTCTAAAATAAACTTTTCTTTATTTTAATTAATTTTTTAAATTTTATTTAATTTTATATAATTCTATTTAATTTAATTTAATTTTTTTAAGTTAAGTTTTTTCTTTCAGTAGATATATTTTTTATGTATAAGATTAAAAAAAATGATAACCCTTGACGGGATTAGGATTAGCTTTAGTCGTATGTTGCCACTCTTAACATAATAATATCTTAAAAAAACTATTTGCTGTTAGGATGCTTTACCTTATGTCCATTTCGTCTATAATTCCCACACAATATTTTGTCGAGTTGTAAAATGTACTTAAATGATTTTATGTAATAAGTAAACATCGTTATTATTGCTTGACATTTCTTTTTTTTTGTAAAAAATCTGAAACGGAATGTATTTGAAACAAATTTATCAAGTGAGATCAAAAATCTGTTTTTACTTATAATAAGAGGAATAACCGCCCGAGAAAGCTTGGTAACTTAAGGAGTTTAGCATCCTATAGTTTTTGATAAATAAGTTAGTACAAAGAACCTCGTTAGATCGAAATGCATAAAGGTTAATTTCCTGAACGAGCCAATCTCGTTTTTAACCAAGTCTAATTATTTTTTTTAAATACCTTCCTGAAATAAAAACACAGTGTATATTGTAAAATAAAGTTGGAGCGAAAATGTCGGAAACCGATTTAATATCCATAAAGTATCCTATTAATTTACTTTTGTAAACAAGCCAACTAATTATGCCCTATGATAATCTATTAACTAATATATATATATATATATATATATATATATATATATATATATATATATATATATATATAAGCCACACTTATAATTAAAAATACCGAAGTATCGTTGGAAATCGAACCAAAAAAAAAGAAAATATTTTTTTAATTTTAATTGTAGCTTATTCCAAAAAAATATAGCGGTTAATGTAAAAATTGTGTGCCACAAGTAAGTAATTTCAGAACCATATTATAATGATCTCGCCAAAACTGCCTCGAATGCACTGATTTCATATTTTTAAGATTAGTTTAAAAATTACGTTATAACAATTTTTGAGATGCATTCATGGAACGATTTTATTTTGTAGTAGCTAATTTAATTCCTCATTCACTTTAACGCTGTAGAAAATTACATTTATGATGATCTATCGGACAATCAATGATAGCATGTCTTCTTCTTTTTTCTCAGCTGTTTCCTTTTCAGGAGTCGCTGTTCCTTGCTCTTCGTCGCCACTCATTTCTGTCTATTGGGTCTTCTTTACCTAAACAGTTATCTCTTAAGTCCTCTGTCACACAGTCCTTCCATCTCCTCCTTGGTTTTCCTCTACCTCTTCTTTCAGCAACTTACTGTCCCTTTTAGTCTTACCCAACATTCACCGTAACATTTTTATTTCAGCTACCTCCATCTACTTTTCCTGGATCTTTTTTACAGGCCACACTTCACCGCCGTACACCAACGCAGGTCTCACCACTGTCTTGTATATCTTAGCTTTCAGTCAAGTTAAATTAACTAGCCTGTATCATGCGGGCATTTTCTCGATCTAGTGTCCCATTTTCCTTTATGTAGGAACCAAGATATGTAAATTATCCTACTAGTTCTAGCTTTTCTCCAAGCAATTCTACGTCCCCAACTATTCCTCTTTCTCT